TGTGTGTGTGTGTGTGTGTGTGTGTGTGTGTGTGTGTGTGTGTGTGTGTATCTCCCCGGTATTGCTTAGAGTAGAGACAGAGAAAATACACAGTGGGGTAGAACGCGGAATGGAGAACTGACTAGATATCAGAGATAGAGGGAGAAAATGAGACAAGATTCTCTGAAGGCATAGGGCATTGTTTAAATGGAAACCTAGAACTGGTAGGAAAGTTGAGGGATGTTGGAGAGCCAACTTCCTTCAAAGAATTAGGGTAGGTTGCGGGACCGAATGTACTGACACCGAGGTGACCCCTATTCAGTGCTTTTTCTTCCTTTGAAAAATCTCACTTTCTAGATTTTTATCTTTTTCAAAGCTTAGACAAGATCATACTACAGTCATTACTTTGTAGTGTGTTACTTTCAAAAAACAATGTATTTAATCACGTTGTGCTATTCATTTTTTTTAATGGCTGAAGAATTCATCCCAAGGATGTTCTTGTTAATGATTATTTAGGTTTCAAGTTTTATTGTTTGTTTGTTTTTCCTATTTAAAACAAAACTGTGAGTCAAGTACTGATCCAGCTCTGAGAATAAGCAGATTAATAAGATGTGGTTTTTGTCCTCCAGGGGCTTATAGTTTGTTAGTCTTTGCAGAAAAAGTGCAATTTTCCTTTGGGCGGTGAAGGTCATCGGTAGTGACGAGGCATGAACCGGTGCATGAGCAGATGACCGCAGTCATGGTAGGATAGTGATGGAGATGGTGGTGGTGGTGGTGGTGATGACTTTGGGAAGGTCAGAGGTTCCAGAGCCTGGCTGTTGACCAGATTTTAAATTCTTTTAGTTAGTAACGATTGACTGAATGTCTTATATGTAGAGCTTTATATCTACAGAATATTCCTTATAAGAGGGATGGCTAAACCTTAGTTTGTATTTCTTTTATTATGCTGGTAGCCCTTGAGGGGGTAGGATTTATAATTAAAATGTATAGAGATGCTGAAGTTAATCTGTATTTATCCTTTTACTACAATTTCTGATCATATCAGTAGCCCTCTGAAGTGTGAAATAATCATGGGCATTTGGTTAATGAATTGTGCATTGTTGCTGTTCATTCATGGAATTTGCTCTTTTATTATATTTGATGCTTCACTTAACAACAAATTTTGCTTTCTCTGTGTTTGATATGTTTTTACCAAATTATTCCTGATTGTTTCCATTAATCTTTAGTCACATTTGACAAAAATAAATTACTGTGATCTTTTAAAGTTACCAGTAATAATTAGATTTTTCAGGACATCAAAGTTTTGGGGGAACCAGTAGATGTTAAAGGGCTTGTATAGAAATGTT